TGTTAGTACATTAGAAAAGGATCCAGTGCCAAAATGACCAGCAGGTAACACTTTTAAAGGCCAAAACGTAGATGCACATCATAGTCGGGAAGGAACAAAGCTCACCACTCTCATCAGACTCCTGGTAAAAGGAAAGAAAAAACTATGCCCAGCTCAGCTACCTGTGAGATCCATAGTGAGGCACTGCACCTTGGTCTGCCCATTTGGTCTGCAGAGCTCCTCCAAGAGCTGTGTGGTCACAAAGGACTTTGCAGCACTCTGGCAGTATGCAAGTTTATTTAAGTTTTCATTAAGGTGATGACATTTTTAACCCTTGCTGTTTCTAGCTAATAACTGTAAGGATTAAAACACTCAACTTGGTCCAGCAGCACAGCTTTCTACTAAAACGCACGTTCCCTATTTAGCCAAACAACTGCTACCACTGAGGTGGTATCTGAGATTCCTTACAAAGTAGCTTCAAGTGCGCAAGGAGAAACCTCATGCTATCCAGGTTGGCATTTTGCATTCCCTGTGAATAATTTCATACTATTTGAGCACAGTGAAAGGATCAGGTGTCATAATTTAAAGCAAGCATACAGCACTGCACCCGGTACCTCAATTCCCAGCTGTTTTTGCACTCTATTTTGCCCTACCAGCAGAACAAAGCCCTCCCTCCATCCAATGATCCCAGCGCAATCCTCCCCATGGTACTACAGGCAATAAATTGCTTAGAAGAGTTATAGAAGTGAAAGAGACTGTTGGTGAGGTTCATCCAGCAATACCTCGTGGCTGGCAGCCTGGAACTGGAGGTTGAGGTGGAAGAAGGCACCGAATCTCAGCAGCTGGGGCCCATGAGTCAGCTCCATGGAGCTGCGCTCCCCCGCCTTCCCGAAACAAACAGCACACAGCAGGGCAAAGGTCCAGCACAAAGCTGAAGGGCAAAGGTATGTGGGGGAGGAATAACAGCACCCTGCATGTTTGGGGAGCAACAGTTCCAGTTATCCTCATGCTCGCCAGTAAAATGGGAAGCGTTACTCAAACATGAGTTGTGGGATCGGAACAGCATTTCAGAGAGGAAACTTGGGGTGGTGGGGAGAGGACTGTGCTGCGATAGCAGCTCTGTTGCAACCAACAGCCAAAAGAGCTCCACAATTACATGCCAAGACAAAGCAAGAATTGCCCAACGCTTTGGAAATAGGTGTGTGCAGTTCAGTTCTACCACGCTAGATACCCCAGCAGGCAGATGTGTGCATCTATTCTAAATACAAAGAAATGCCAAAGGTAAAATGAGCTTTCCATATAGCTTATCTCCTGTACTGGATGCTGGCTTCAAGGAAAGCCCTTTGGGGAGTTAGTCATTGAAGGGTGAGAAGCTCATGAATCCATCCTTCCCTGCCTTCTCCTCAGCACCAGTAGCCAGCCCAGCCTGTGTGCTGCCATCTCTGAACAATAGGCAGCCAACCTCCAGTGCTTGCTGCTAGGAACTAAGGTGTGCCTTCTGGAAAGTGCTGCTTATCCTCCCAGTGCATCTGCCAAATGGCAAGCAAGAAACTCTGCTGAGAAACTAAAGCACCTCCTGCATCTCCACTAAGACGTACTGAGTTTGCAACCAGAAGGAGAGATGGCATAAAAGTTAGTGCTTAGCAATGGCACTGCCAGTCATTAAAATTTGCATGTTCTTATTTCCAAGATGTAAATGGCTTTAAAAATTAAGAAGTGCCAAGTGCCTTGATGCAACATTTCTTGAAATAAATCCAGCAGGTTTTCAAAACGGGGTGCTGTTAACACCTGTCTGCACCAACGCTTGCATCACTGCTAGCACTGGTGCAGGGCACAACAGAGGAGTACAAACTGTTCCAGAAGGTCGAGTTGCCTTAACCGAAGCCACATTTCTTTATTGAAGAATTAGGAGAAAATATTTCAAATTTGGTTTACAGCCAGAAGCGCAAAGCTGTTTTTGTCAGAAAAATGTTTCCTTCTCTTCTGCACATACATTCCCTGCAATTGTGTCTTTGCAAGTCAGGCTGCTGGCTGCATTTATTTACATGATAAGAAGACACCACACAGCAAGTTGCATGTAACGAGGGACTGTCACACAGACCTTGCTATTTGATGAGAGAGCAAAAATGAGGTGTCATTACCAGCCTTGTCAGCGTCCCTCATGAGCAGTAAGTACTAACACAACCCTTGCCACATTTGACATGCTTATGTGTCTTTTCACAGCTTAAAGGACCACCCCCTCCTTCCCACTTGCACCCCAACTCTGAAATGCACACAAACAGAAATACAGCGCACATTGTGACAAGCACCACGACAGATTGCTGGGTGCATCTCTCCACCAGAGCCTGGTCCCCTGCTTACAGCACCAGCAGCACTGCTGTTGTCTAACTCGACCTAATGGTTTCTACCCTTAATGCCACGCAGTTATGCTTTTGGGAGGAGGGCTTAAGCGCCAAGGAGAGGCTTTGCTTCAGCCTGCCCTCTTGGAAAAGCAGCAACATTTACTCAAACTTCCCAATACTGACCTCGCTCCCAACCTTCAGAGTGCCCCAAAAACATCTGCTTCTGAAAACAAACCCTAATTCCCCCCAAACCAGACCCTGTTATTTCGAATCTGCATCAGGCCTCCACGCATTCATCCTTCCCAGGTGATGTTTAGCTGCAGGAAGTAAAGCTCAAGATGAGCAGAGAGGGATTTGCCAAGCTCTTCCACATCCGTAGTCAGACACAGACGGTGAAAACTCACAGAGATCTTGAGTACAGCTCTGTTTTTCTCTGAGCTTGAGCTCAATTCCTTTACTTTAGTAAGCACTAATTCCAGCACAGATCATTACAGAACGGGTGAACTCCTTAAGGAGCATGTCTTGTCCATTAAATCTGCTCTTCAGGCCTATAATTAATACAATCATTATAAAAAATTAGGGCTTTGAAAGCCTGTAAAACAAGTCATAGAGGGATGCCCATATCTTTAGAGAGCTGTCCTGATGTTCAATAGCTCCTAGCCTTCCTCGCTACCTCCTCAATAGCAGGATCAGTGCGGAAAACATTCAGTACATCAGCACACAAACACCACGCTGGGAGCACAGCTCAATTGCCAACCACAGTTCCTAGGCTAAAAACCTAAAAACATTCAGTAATGCCTTTCCAGAGTTTACGTGTGCTCTATGTGTTTCAAGTGTACAGTGAAGCCACTTTTCTTTTATGGTCTCCTGGAGGTCACTGGAACACCACAGCTCATCTTCTGCACTACAGCACAACTTTTGCACATTCTCACACTCCAGATGTCTTTTCAGAAACATCTGCTGGAAGAAACACTCCTTCCAAATCAGCACAGATCTGGCAGGAGCCTGTGAAGTCTACGAGAAGGCACTCAGGCAAAGGGCCGCTATGCAAGGCCAGCCACCAGCCTGCCTCTCGTGGGAGTTCGCCAGCCGTGCTTGTTTTACACGTTTTCTCTTCTGCTAACGAACCAGGCAGCAAAAGAAACAATGCCCCAAGTGCAAGGGAGCCAAGTGGCAGCGTCTGGGGCACTGCAAAAACCAATTCCATTATTTCAACTCCTCCAGGAATACTGGGAGAGCTGGGCCAGGCTCAACAACGTGCTGGGTGTTGCATGTTTATTGCCCACTGTTATGCTATTCCCTCAAAATCACATCAGGCATTGCAGAGTCCCCTCCTCTGCCACATGGTGCCTGCTCAGGCTCCTGAGCCCCCACTTTAGTGTGTTTTAGATGTGCTGCAAGGCCTCTAACTGGAACCCTGGGGAAACACCTCCTATTTTTGCACCTTTTGCTTGATTCCTAGGGAGTGTTGCCTAAGGAGGCAGCATAACAGAGCCCAGCTCTCACACAAAGGAGCACTGTGAGCAGCTGGATGTCACGCTGCATGCAAGAGGAAAACGCAGACAGCAGCACAGTCCTGGATTTCGCTGTGCATTGCACACACAATGACAAACCACCAAACCATCTGGGCACAGACTTCTACCTGGCACACTGACCTTCTCCTCTACACTACCACTAAGACAACAGCTTTCCAGGTGGAAATTGCAGAGGTGTCCATCTTTCAAAGATCAATAATATCTCCGGTGAATCATCCCACCTAGCCTGCAACATTTCTTGCAAAACATAGCACAGTAACAAGAAACCTGATGTCATACCTGGCAGCGTGACTGCGGAGCTTGCAGAGATAAAAATATTAGGAATTAAGCTTCAGCCGAGCAGCTCCCAAGCACAGAATGATAGAGGCTGGAAAAGGCCTCCGAGGTCATCTAGTCCATCTGTACTCGTACCACCAATGCTCCCCGCTAAGCCCATCCCTCAGCACCACATCCACATTTCTCGAGCACCTCCAGGGCCGGGGATTCCAACACCTCCCCGGGCAGCCCATTCCAGAGCCTCACCGCTCTTCCTGAGAAGAAGCTGATCCTAATACCACCGCACCTCCTACCAAATAAACAAGCAAAACGACAAAAAGAAAGAAACGCGAAGAGGCGAAGAAGCGGCGCTCAGCCATGTCGACTCAGGCTTACGAAGGGCGCCGGGGCCTCCGGCAGAGCAGGCACGGCCCCGGGAACCCGCAGGGCCCGCACAGCGCGCACGAGGCCTCCACACGGCACCCCAGGGCCTCCCTTCCTCCCTCATCGGGCCGAACTCGGAGCCGCGCACGTGGGCCGGCGGAGGAGGAGGCCGAGCTGCGTGAGAAATCACATGCCGGGCCGGGGGAAGCCACCACGTTGCCTGCGCGGCGGCGGCGGAATGCTGGGAAGGGGAGGCCTCCTCCCGCCCGCCCGGCCCAACGAGCGCGGCCCGCACCGCGCCCTCCGCCCGCCTCGGGCCTCCCCCAGCCGCATGGCCCCGGCCCGGCCGCTCCCCTCCCCCTCTCCCCGCTCGCGGCCCGGCCGGTTCCCCCCCTCCCCCCCCGCCGCGCTCCCTCAGGCCGCACGCCGTGCCGCATGGCGCTGCCGGTCGGGGCGCGGTCGCCGCCGCCGCACCCCCGTGTCCCTCCTCGCCCCCCGCACCCACCTGGAGGCGACTGCCCGTTGACCGCCAGCGCGGCCGCGTTCTTCGTCCAGGGGTTCACCTTGGGCGGCGGAGCCTCGATGAACTCCCTTCTCCCCGCTCCGCCGCCGCCCGCCTCGCCGCCCTCCTCCGCCTCGCCGCCCGCCCGCAGCAGGCTCTCCTTCTCCTGGTTGTTGCTCTCCTCTTTCTGCTGCTTGGCGCTGGGCGGCCGCTGAGCCGCGGGGCCGCCGTCGGGGCCCATGGGCGCTTCGCCCTTCTCCCGGCCGCCGTCCTGCGGCGGTTTCAGCACCAGGGCGCGCTCCTCGGCGGGCAGCAGCGGGGCGCCGGGCAGCAGCGCCTCCACCTGCGTCGCCATCTGCGCGCCCCCGCCCCGCACGGGGGGAAGCGCCCCCTCAGCGCACTCACACGCGCACGCGGCGTTTCCCCCCCGCCCCCCCCCCCACACGCGCAGCGGCCGCCGCCGCAGCAATATGGAGACGCGCGGGGACCACGCGACTAGCCGCGGGGGCGCGCGCCGCGCAGCGCCGCCCCGGCCGCGCGCGCGCGCACACACCCGGCCTAAGGGGAGGGGAAGAGGGGAAAGGAGGGGCGGGGCGCGCCCCCGGCCGGCCGGCGGCGCGCACGTGCCTGATGCAACGCCCGGCCGCGAGTGGGGGCGCTTAAAGGGGCCGCGGGGGCTGCTGAGGCGGCGTGTGGAGGGGATGGGGGGTGGGACCGCTGCGATCTGCTCCTCGCAGCCCCCGGCCGGGTGGCTGGTAGTGCAGGAAGGGAAGCTCCAGAGGAAGGTTGGGCAGCGTGTAGGGGTGGGAGTGCAACGGGAGGGGTGTTGTGAGGCGCTGGTCGTTGCCCGGCTGTAGGAGCGTCGCTGCTGAACTGATCCTGGGGGCTGTGATGGCAGGGGGCTTCGCAGTTCTTCGCCAGCGGGTGGCCGGGCGTTAGAATGGTGTCTGTAGGGCAGTGGCTGTGGAACCGAGGTTGCCAGAGTTCAGGAAGCATCTGGACAACGCTCTCAGTCATACGGTCTGATTTTGGGGTGGTTCTGTACGGTACCTAGTGATCCAGAGTCCCTTCCAGCTCAGGGTGTTCCTGATTCTAACTGAACTGAGACAAGGGACACCCGTGGTTCCATAGCAGATTCTCTTCTCCATCAGGGGGACACAAAATCAGGTGGCTGATGATCACAGGCTGTGTCTATGGCACAGCACGGAGCTGTGTTAGTGAGGGTAAGGGGGACGGTAAGGGAAAAGCTCTGCAGCAGAAGGTGGTGGGCATGGAATGGGCTGCCCAGGGCAGCTGGCACAGCTCTGAGCTGCCGGAGCTCAAGGAGCCTTGGCTCTCAGATGTAGGGATCTGATTTGGATGGTGCTGTGTGGAGCCCGGAGTTGGACTCAGTGATTCCTGTGGGTCCCTTCCAACTCGGAATGCTCAGTGACTTTGGTGAAGGTTAAAGGCAGGAGGGCTGGGAGGATGGCTCATGGCCCAGAAGGGCAAATAAGGAGCCATCAGAAGGCTGATTAGTGACCGCAACCAGGAGAGGTGGCTTGGTGGCTGTCATAGGGTGACTACACCACGACGTCAAAAAAACATGAAAAAGGCAAGTGTGAACCTCAAATGCATCAGAAGCTCTTTATCCCATTAGTGAAGGCACTGATGAGCCTTCCTCCGGAGCAGTGTGTGTAATTGTGGTTATCCACATTCAAGGATGATGAAATGGTGTAAGGACTACAAAGATGATTGGAGAATGCAGTGTGTTTCATGGAAAGAGATTAAAGGAATAGCTTTTGTAGCCCGGCAAAACCTGCACACTTTCATTTGAGGAGGTTAAAATACTTGATTAACCCCTAGCTAATGGAATGTCGCTTGGTCATGACTGTCTCTAATGCCCTCAGTCCTTGTCCCCTAAAGCAGCAGGCCAGCCAGAGTCCAAATCCTGTGTGTAGTTATGCACAACATATACATATATGAAAAGCAATGCATAATGCTAAACCTGCACTATTGTTATCATTTAACAAGACTTTTCTGATTCACAGTGTCTCTTTATAAATTAAACCAACATTGATAACAAGCTTCACACCGGCCTTTTCCCTTCAGTGAGCACACTGCCTCATTTGTACCCAGAAATGTTCACCTAAAAAACCCAGTGTTTGATATGGAGAGACCTATGCAGACCCTGCAGAAACACTAACAAAGTGACAAGGCACTGAAAACATAGCTCCCAGATAATGCATGGAGAAGAATGGAAAGCTGATTGCATAGCTAAACAGTTAGAAGGGAAGGAGAGGCAGACATACTTTAGCATCTTGTTCAGAAGGTTAACAGAGTCGGAGGTCTGACTGGCCCCTAGACAGAGACTTAGGTTATCAGGGATTCTCCACTGAGGCTATTTTGGCCCCATATGTCCCTTGATACCCAGCCCAAGATATGTGTACTTATTGCCTAGTTCTTACTACAGCCAGTGGAGTTCATGTTTCCAGCCTTGAAAGCAGAATGAAGCCCAAAGGAACTTCCATTCCCATCCAGGCTTTAGAAAATGTTTTTCTCCCTCAGGATCCTCTTGGCTACCCCCATAGCAGTGAGTGCATTCATGTGATGCAGTGTCACTGTGTGCCACAGCCCGGGGATCAGCAGAATGTGCCATGTGTCCCAGAAACTTTTAAGAATCTGCCCAGTACAATTACGAAAGGAAATGTGTATGATTAGGTTATGACACTAGAAGAGATAGCACTGGCCTTGCTGCCTGGCTGAATATCCAGAGCAGATGCTCTGCTATCTGAGTTGCAACAACAAAACTGTATCCTGTACTGTCAGCCCAGTCCCATATTTCCAAGGGGGTCTCTATGCGCTCATAAGCACACTTTGGGGATTACACATCTCATGTTGATTTCCCTCCAGCAGGGCTCTGTGAGGCTCTGGGATACGCAGTGCCAGCCTCAGCTGGGTGGCAGATGCCAGCCTGGGCTGCCCAGCTCTGCCACGTGAGCAGGAAGGGCCCACGATGGGTGAGAGCCAAAGTGGCTGCAGGGCGGAGCGAGCTGGGTGAGGCTCTCGCTCCATGCTCACTCTGTGGGCAGCCAGACTGAACCATGTCATAGTTTTAAATGCTAAAAAAAATAAATTAATGGCCAAGGAGGAAGAAAGAGAATTGTTCGCGCAAGCAGTCGAGCTTATGCACGGCCTTTATGCGTCAGCCAAGAGGACAAATTGCCTCTCTGCCCTTGGCTGGCTACCACGCAAATATGGATGCTCTCTGTGAAGGGAAACTCTGCAGGTGAGCTGTGCTTGGTGCATGCAGGCTCGAGTGTAAGCACATGGGCAGCATCTGGCAGCCACCACGCACCACAGTGTTCCTGGTGTCCTCACCTCTGCCAGCACATCTCCCCCAGTCTGCCCAGCAGGCAGCACATGCTGTGTTGGTAGCTGGAATATTCTGTTCCCGAGCTCTGGGGACATGCTGAGAAGCAGCCAAGAAATCGCAGTGTTTCTGCGGCACAATTTACCAGGAACAAATCCAGCTCTGCTTTCCCCAAACGCAATAAAAGCACCTCACCATCTCCCCAAGCCTGCCTCTAAGGTTGGCCCTTCACCCCAGCTGTGTCCCCATGACTTCCAGCTTTCTCCCATCCCTGTGCTTTTCGCCAGCCGCGGTGCAGCCTCTGAGCATGCAGTCTCTGGGGAAATTCCTCTGCTGGCATCAGCAGCTGCGGAGCCGGCTTTGGGCAGGAGCTCCCAACCTCCCTCACCCTGCATACAACAACTCACTTCTTTCTCCCTGAATGAAGCATGGCTTGCATATTTATTGCTGCCGCCTGGCTGCTTTGACTCTGGCCTGTAGGTTTAAAGATGCTTTCCAGGTCGACAGCCTCTCCTGGGGGAGTGACCTTCACTTTGGGAACAGCTTTAATTCAGTGCTGCTCCTCTCCAACCCCATGCATTTTTCCTCCAACCCTCATAAAACCCAGAGCAGGATGCTAACAAGACAACAGGGTGCCTGGTGTTTTAAACCGAGCTACTGATGCATTGAACGTTTTAGCTAACGTACTTTCAACAAATACCTTTATGATAACAGTTTCTGGACTGACTGAGATTTAAGGTGGTATCAATACCTCTGAGCTACTTGTGGCCAAACCAGGAGTGTGTTTGTAAAGTACTAATATTAAAAAAAAAGAAAAACAGCTCTGAACCCTGCTAGACAACACAGGGTGTGAAACAACTGCTGCTATATCAGCAAGTAACTGTGCTTGACAGGTGCTGGAGAAGGAAGGTCAACATTACTTGCGTTTTGTGGAGTTTTTCTTTAGCTGTAGCTTGATCTCCATTGCCCACAAGTAGCTGCAGTGTGCTGGGCATGCTCTGGATCACATCATTTTGTCTCACATCCCAAAGGTGTGCCAGCCTTGCAGGTTGCTTGGACCATTTTGGGTCCAAATGGTCATTCCTGGACACCTTCACACCACTTGTTTGCTATCAGTAGTGATTGCTCTGTCTGCTGAGGAGGTCAGATGCAAACCTGTGCTTTAAGTATGAACAGCAGAATGTTAGGAATCAGGCACCTGTAATGCTTTCAAAAAGAGAAAGGGGATTTTGCCAAGAAAAACCCAAACTTCCCATCCTGAATCATAGGCTTTGAATTATTTACCTTGTTGTTACTGGTCTGTGAATTCTGCTGGGTGGGGACGCTGTGCAGGACAGCACGCTCAAGGTTATGCAAATTCGGCAGTACTCCTTTCCACTGCTGCTTTTGGGCTGATTCAGTTGTTCCACATATTTGCCATATCTGCTCTGCTTCCCAGTGACTTGCAAATTCAGCACAATTGCTTGAATCACAGGACTATCTCTGACATCCACAGAAGAAAATCTTTCAAAGGACACTCGGGTCTTATCTGTAAAAGAGAAACCTGACATTGTGGCACATCGGTGCAGAGACCATTCCCAAGTCTCTGTGCCACCAGTGGCGGTGCTGAGATCCAGCTAGGAATTTTCTATTTCAGCAAACCTGATGGTTCCCCATTGAAAACCAATGAACCTGCCCTAAGGATGCTCAGAAATTGTGGAGACAGAGCAGTGCTGGTGGCACGAGGAGAGCAGGAGCCAGCGTGTGGCAAAGGGATGGGGCTGCAGCCCCCTGCTGCGCTGCGCAGTCCCGCTGGGCAGGTTAGCAGGAGTTCAGATCTCTCATGCAGACGCAGCACGCAAGGAAGTGAGACAGCAATCTCTCC